CATCATAAATTATGTTGGTCTCAGGACAACTAGTACTTGGCAAAATCATGACGAGCACGAGGCTCAGTGCTCAAATCTGATTTTTCTCAGATCTGATTCTTTTGCATGGCTGTTCACGGTCCAAAACTGACCCAAATGTGCAAAAGTACTTAACGGAAAGCACAAAATGTCTAATTATGCACGTGTGTGTGCTGCATGAGTAGCTTATATGATTATTACCCTTTTCACAGACAACCGTTGTGTATTTCATGAACTGTAAAGGGTTGTTCTGCTACTACAAATGTGTATTCGGCATATGAAACCTAAAATAAATCTCCTGTGATAAAAACACTGATCATTTGTGATTTATGACAACTGCGGTGTGTGGCGCTCTGACCACTAGTGTAGAAAACTCCTCAAAGGTTAAAGAGGCCATATTATGGGTTTTTGAAAATTCCCCTCCATGTAGTGTGTAACAGCTCTAAGTGCAGTGAAGTATCCAGCTAAGGCTTAAATTTGTTAGTGTACAGTGTTTAACCCCCTGGGAACGAAGACCGCGTATACGAGTTCTGACAAGTTTTTACCTCATTGAGCTGAAATGAACCTAAATTACACTTTCAGTTTTGATCGTACAGATAAGATCAATACATCAATCGAATCTGTTAGGTGTCTACTTTTAAATGTGTACACTCACAACAAAAACAAATGTGTGTGCTTTTGCAAAACAAGGATAATAAACAGTGTAGGCATTCTGTCTTTTCTCTCTCCGTGAACTGTGTTTAGAAACGCGTCAGTAAAATGCGCTGAAACTCCGCGAAAACAATACACCCAGACATGAGACACATATCTTTATAAAGCTTGAAGTGTCTACTTTTAAATGCAGCTATGCATGTTGAAAACAAATATTGTTTGATAAAGTAATCAGTATGAAACCAACGCTGTGTCTAGTTTCTCAGTCTGAGCTCATTAGAGTTAATGCGACCACGCCCACAAAGCTTTGACATTAAACAGCCTGCATAGTAGATAGTTCACGCCTTCTCGCATAAACTATTTTCAATCAGAAAGTGACTTAGAAGTTTTAATTCATTGTATTGTTTTCTGTGAGCAAGTGAACAAGATGATTCTCACATCATTTTGAAGCAAAAACACTAGACTACCAGATCCAGTTCTCAAAAGTCTTGTGCACAAATGTTCTCTGTGTGTTTCATGGCCTTGTTTCAGTGACTTCAAAATTTTAGTTTTTCACTAACCACGCATAAACATTTCTTTCTCAAAAAACACAAACACATACAAACATGCTGCTTAGGTATTATTGTAGCCCAACTTGTGCTGTTAACAGTGTTATCACACTTTAGCCATTAATATGTTTTTAAGATACTGAAAACAACACAAATGTCAGTGCATTTCAAAACTTCTTCAGAGCCCCAAAAAACCCTCAGAACCCAGAGGGTTAAAACTGTTGATTCATCTATAAAAGAGTCGACTCATAGTGCTTCAAACGAGTCGCCTTGATACAGAGTCATTAGGTGTTTCGCCATGACGTACGAATGAAACCAAGTTATTCACGTGCACACGCAAACCCGGGAGATTTCAAACCTGCAGCCCCGCCCTCTGACGCAGAAACCCAGACACACACACCCACACACACTAACATGCCGGTGTAGCAGTCGATTCTGTTCCCTTCTGGAATTCCAGTTCCACCTCTACGAAGCGTATCCGCTAACAGCGTATGCGGACACACCCAAACACAACTGGATGTACGGAAAGCGAAAAGGGACAAAAGTGTTGGCAATGCTTTTTATGTCTTGCAATGTCAAAGTAGCGCAATAAAATCAATCTTACACTTCCATTACATATTACCTGTGGTTCTTGTTTGCATTCTTAGCTTTTTTATAATGTCTGAGTTTATGCACCCTAATTTAATATTGCATGTAGGCCTACAGTTATGTTAGTCCTCTAGACACATGTTTCCCAGAATTGGCCTAGTGTGTTTGTGCGCACGCGCGTACATACATACATACATACATACATACATACATACATACATACATATATATATATATATATATATATATACATATATATATATATATATATATATATATATATATATATAATTGTTTACAATTAATTATTCAATTAATGAATTATCAGTGGAGCTATAAATTGGGAACATGGCCATACCACATTGTCACTTGATAGTCACACCAATTTGTATTGCTGGTGGTTACTCTCTGACTCAAACAACAATAATGGATCCAAAAATGTATGAACAAATTATGAACTATAAACAGCAAGGCACATACCCTGTTGGTATAAAGAAGGAGCAAAAATATAATATACGCAGTCGTTCTTCCAACTTGATGGTAAGCAAAGTACTTTTGAGTTAAGATTTAAAATTATTTATTCATAAAAGAATTAAATAACAATAATGCTGTTTGAATAGATGGAAAACTTTACCACTTTTCAAAAAAAATGACGTGGAGTTAAAAAAAACAAGTGGTTGTTGGGGAAAATGAAGCAAATGAAATTTTTTAAGATTTTCATGCAAGCTCCCATGGAGCACACTGTGGAACGGAGAAAACAAAACTTGCCATTTCAGCCCGATTTTACTGGCCTGGAATGGGGGTGGATATTGATAAATGGGTAAGATTTAAATAATTTCTTTCAAACTTGTTATGAGATCTCAATGGATTGTTTCTCATTTGCTTATTTCTGATTTTCAGGTTTTGCAGTGTGCTCAATGCCAGTTTAGTAGGCCATCCATAAAACAGGAGCCAAAGTATATTCCGATATGTGTATGTAAGCTTGTTCACATTTTCAAATACAAGGTGTCACAGCATTCACATTTATTTGTGCTGTTTTTCCTTCCTAAGGTGGATAGGCCACTAGAACTGTTGGACCTGGTGGGCAAAGTGACCAAAACCGACAAGGGCAACGAATACATTTGTGTCATTGTCGATTATTACACCAAATGGTCAGAGGCGTATCCCATACCCAACAAATCAGCTGCAGTTGTTGCACGCTGTATCATTAACTTTTTTTATATGTTTGGGGCACCAAAGAGGATCCTAACCGACCAAGGCAGAGTTTGTGAACCAGGTTTGCAACTTATCAAATTACATTCAGAAAATAAGTATAAATATTTTGTGCAAATCAGAATTATACAAACCTTACATACGTTTTGCAAATAGATCAACAAAGACCTCTGTGACTTCCTCGGTGTGGAACGAAGCCTCTGTGCCCCATATCATACACAAACTAACGGCCTTGTGGAAAAACTAAATGGGACCATCCAGAAGTAAGTTGGCATTGTGGGAATGCAATATTGATGTAATATTGTACATCCTTGCAATTGTTTACTAATACCTTCCTGCTCCTTTTTATTACTCTAGAGCCTTGTGTAAACTTGTGGAGGAGCGACCTGAAAAATGGGATGAGTACCTAGATGCAGTGATGTTTGATCTAAGAACTAAGCCACAGCTGACAACTAGGTACTCCCCATTTTTCCTGATGTTCGGCTTTGAGGCCCGATACCCTTCAGAGGTGCCTGAGACATTTGAGGTATATGTTCAGTCTTTAATTTGGTTTAAATGACAAAGTGAAATCATTTCTAAGTGCTATATTTCCTAAAAGGTCAACAGCACAGTGAAAAATATATTAACTGAGGACACCGTGTCAGGGGCCATTTCTCTAAAAGAGAAAATTGACCACATGGTAAAGGAAAATGTAAAAAAAAAAAACAGGAGCGCAGACAGAAAGTGCAAAATCAAGCACAGTTCTCTGTTGGTCAAAAGGTCCTACGGAAAAACATAAGGTCCCAGCAGAGAAAAGGTGGCAAGCTTGAGCGGAGCTGGCTAGGACCTTTTGAAATACTCCAACACCAAGAAAAAAGTGCTGATCTAAAGGATGAGAGAGGTCACATTTACCCAAAAATAAGCACAGACCACCTTAAGTTATTTAAAGTAGATGGACCTCATGTACCCCACAGGATCCTTGCTGCACAACAAAATCAAAGACCTGACCAGCATCCTTCACCTACACCTTTAGACCTCACCATCACAAAACTGCAGCCCCAACCATCACCGCCATCCTCACCAAATGCACCACAACTTTCTCCCCATGTCTCCCCCAAGTCTTCCTCTTTCCTGTCTCCACTCAACTTAACTGTCAGTCTCTCCTCTCCTCAATCCCACACAACTACAGTGGAAGTGCTTGGACAGGCTGACTCCAAAGATGCAAAACATGGCTGTAAGTGCTGATATACTATAGAATCAAATGCTGTAATAAAAGTAAAAATATTTTTCAGGTGTGAAACTATATTTTTTAAAGTGCTGCTTTTTAATTGTTTATAGACCTCAAAAGTGCTTGGAAAGGCAATGCAAGCTATGTATTGCTGTCCAAAGTGGGACCATATAAATTATTTTATTCTGACATTTCAAGGCTCAGACCTGGCATGGAGTTGGAGAGTGAGGTAAAGATAAAAAAAATTTTTGTCACGTCAATCTTTTATGTAATGTTCTATTAATGTTTTATTTTTATTTTTTTATTGTTTGACAAGGTAATAAATGCTTATCTTACCTTGAAAGTGAGGGAGCACAATGAAAAATCTAAACGTAAAGCCTTTGCTTTTAACACATTTCCAATGTCTGAGCTGTGGAAAGGAAAACCTCAGCAATTCAAGGTGTGTGTTTGTTTGTTTTTTTGTGTGTGTGTGTTTTTATTAATAAATATTTTAGTTTTTTTTCTTTCTGACCATGTGTAAAATTTAATAACAAAATGGGTCTTTAATAACAAAATGGGTCAAAATGGTTGTGTAATTATATATAGTTATATAGTTGTCTAATATTGTGTTCATTTATATTTAGGTGGACCCAGCAAAATATGATGTGTTGTTGGGTATTGTCAATGATTGTCACCACTGGTTTTTGATGGTAAATGCTTCTGATTTGAAACAGACTCTTCTTGAAACTTTCCCTATTCTCAAGTTTTTTATTTTTATTTTTGTTAAATGTAGGCTATATACCCAGCCCAAAGGAAAGCTCTTCTTCTTGATTCTCTTGGAGAGACTGAGGTGTAGAAAAAGAAGTGTTTGGAAACGGCAAGGTATTTTAATTCGGCATAATCTGATATTGGAAGTTAACTGACAGACAGACAGAAAAAAACAAAACAAAACAAAAAAACCTTTTTGCAGCACAATTATGAAGAAACTTCCAGTTTCACATTGGGTGTGTGAAACACTGCCTCACCCACATCAAAAAGATGGAACATCATGTGGTGTGTTTGCGTTGAAGGTATGTGTCATTGACCATATGAAATATTAATAAAATTTGGATTGTTTATTTATTTTTGTTTTTGTCCAGTTTGCAGAATACATCCTTAAAGAGAAGGAAATTGACTTCTGCAGTGCACCACAAGAAGTAAAACGACTCCGATTAGAGATTGCATCAACACTTCTTGACCAATCTGGTATGTTTTTATTCGTTTTTAACTTGAAAATTTTCAGTGCATTAATGCATTTTCAGAACCAACTTAAAATTCACAAAAGAAATTTAAACAGCTCATTTTATCTCAAAGATGATCTAAGTGACCTGTGTCACTTTTGTGGGGAGGCAGAGACATTTGATGAATCTGAGAATGTTCTCTGGGTAACAACATTTGTCTTTTTTTTTTTTTGTAAATGCATTGTAAGCGAGTTTTATTTATTTACTTTTTAATCATAGCATATGATTGAATAACACGAACATTTTGCTTACAACGTTGCTTCCCTTTTTATTATGAGGCAGATGTATTATTAATACCCCCTCTCTATTTTTAGATTTCCTGTGACCAATGTGGGCGATGGTTCCACGTGGCCTGCGCTAATAATCCAGCAACAGAAGCAGACTACAAATGCTTTTCCTGTAAATAAAAAAATGAAATGTAAAAACGTTTATTTTCTTGTTTATCTCTTTGGAAATTGCTATGGTATACCTGCTGTAAATTTGTCTCTAAAATGTAAACCTGTGTATGGCAAACATGTTGTCTAAAATAAAATTCCGCTTAAGGAATAAGGAAAAACCTTCTAGATTACGTTGAGAAACTTAATTTTCAGGTTTGCGAAAAATAGGAACTACTCTGCTTCCCGTACATCCAGTTGTGCTTCACGGGTATGTTGTTTGCGATCATACGTATGGTGCCTCGGCAACAACACAAACCATGTAGTTTAATTGCGTAAAGGGGAACAGACATTCCGAGGGGAACAGAATCGACTGCTACACTGGTCGATTGAAGTCACACTGCAGATGGATATATTGAGTCTCTACCCAAAGATGAAACCTCAGCATTATAGCCAAGCAGTTGGAAACTACTGGAAACTTCTGCAAACTACATGCTACAAAGAATACTTCATCGGCGTTTGTTAAAGGAAGGATCAGTAAAGAGTAACTTACTGATGGACATCAGGATGGGTTTCTTCCTCCATTTCTCAAGTGTAAGTACTTGTGATTAAAGTTGCCTCGTTGACTCTAGCTTGCAAATGTATTTAGTTGTGATTTGTTACTTGTAACCGCGTGTACTGTATCAGGTTAACTCGCTTTATTCTCATATCGGGTGCAAAGCCACGTTTAAAACGCGACGCGTCCTGCTTTGTTTACGGAGCTCCGTAGAGGAGGAGTAGTGCGTGTGACTGTGTGTGCGTGTGTGTGTGCGCTGTCGTCCGGAGGTGTGTGTGTGTGTCTTTGCAATATGTGTGTGTGTGTCTGTGAAAAGAGCAGAGTGAGAAGCTTGGAGATCTCCTCAACTGTTTTTGCTCAATAAATTAGTTAGTCGTCTGTATTTTCAAGTCCATTGTCTGTATTTACATTGACCCACTGGCAGCTATAATCCACACCTTACACTATCGAGCGTGTATGAACTGTGATTACTTTTATATTGCTGATTAGCTGTTGGACATTTCACTCTCTCACTGAAGGCAGTCGACCAATCGCAACAGACTGTCATTGGTCTAATCAGCGCAGATTAGCTTCACGCTAAGGAAGGGTTGGGGAACAAATGAGTCACTGGAAGTTTCATACGGGAGTCGCTGGGATAATTAGGTAAAAATAAATGCAGATTATGAAACCTTGAAAGTGTTTTTTGACCTTGCATGCATATTAAACTGTTGTTGGAGACCCTTACAACCAAGATATGACCCTATTTCATGTATAATATGGGCTCTTTAATGAGCAGCTGCAGACTGAGCTGTGAAGGCGGAGTTGGTTTAATCCTCGTTTGCAGAGTTATTTAATTTTAATTCGATATAAACAGCAGACACGTGCAGAAGGGGGGTTTGGGTGCTCAAGCACCTGCCCTTTTTTCTCTACACTGCCAAAAATACTTTTCTTGCTTAGAGTTCTTGCTTAGAGTTTTTGACTTGTTTCTTGTCTAAATATCTAAAATTTCTTATTTCAAGAAGCATTTTCTAGACAAGCAAACCATAGTGTCTTGTTTTGAGAAATAATATGCCAATACTAAGTGAGTTTTTCCTTAAAACGAGCAAAATAATCTGCCAATGGGGTAGGCAAAGTAATCTTGTTTATTCTTTTGATGTAAGATTATTTTGCTTACCCCATTGGCAGATAATTTTGCTTGTTTTAAGGACAAACTCACTTAATATTGGCATATTATTTCTTTAAACAAGACAATATGTTTTGCTTGTCTAGAAAAATCTTCTTGATTTAGGAATTTTTAGATATTTGGACCAGAAACAAGACAAAAAATCTAAGTAAGAAAAGCATTTTTTTGCAGTGTAGGAGGGAAAGTTCTTCCTCCTTTGCACACGGATCCCCTACCCACAAAACTCGCGACAATTTTTGGCTTTGCGATCAACCCGTGCCTCAATCGTTATCCAGATTAGTTAACAAGCACCAGTTATACCATCAAAATCTTTTTCAACATGAACAACTAAGTCTCTGTGGTAAAGTAATCACCCTGTATGTCATTCTACTGTGCTGCTGAGGGGTAGAGGATGTTTGCAGCACAGAATGATGACGCATGTCGCTCAAAGATTATGCAAAAGTCACATGAAATCTGACTTTACCGTTCACACTGCAGTCACATAACAAAACATCAGTGTCTGATTTAAGACTACATATAAAAGGCTACGTTCACACTGCAGGCAAATGTGGCCCGAATCAGATTTTTTGCCGATATGTGACTCAGGTTGTGATAGTGTGAACAGCCCAAACCGCATGGAATTTGATCTTTTCAGGTCAGATTTGTGCCACTTCATATATAGTATTACATCTGACACAGATCTGGGGCCTCAGGTACGAAGACTTGCATGGAAATCTTACTAAAACATTGCGTACGCTCAAAGCTGTAAATGTGCGTACGCAGAAAAAAATTCAGATGTATGAAACACTGCGTACGCCAAATCTCACGCATATTCTTTTGTACATCCGAATGAACGTGAAACTGAGCGCAACATGCACGAGCACAAAACCCCTCCCTGCCTCCTCCCCCGTATGAATATGCTAATGACTATGCTAATGGCAAAACCCAACGAAAAAGCAATGGCAAAATCAAGCAAAAAGAGAAACTTTGAATAGAATGTAAAATGGATGTGCTGCTTTCGGAGGTAGACCGGAGAAAAGCTGTGTTATTTGCAAGTTTGTTCTCCGGAATTAACAAAAAAAGAAAAAAAATAGAGTGGGAGAGTTTAGCTGATGCGGTTAACACAGTTGGGTCTGAACATCACACTGAGTGCATTAAAAAAAGAAATAGTGTGGTTTATATCTGTAAAATGTTGCAGTACCCTTAGCAGTCTCAGTGGCGCACCTCGTAAGACGCATGTGATCATATATTGACACGTTCGAGCATAAACTCAGCTTGAATCCAGCGTCTGATGAACTCTTTCTTCTTTTTTTCCCCGCTACATATCAGATTTTGCCCACTATTTATCACGAGAAAGACAAAAAGGAATCATCAATAAGTTTGTGCATCATATTTTATTTGCACATTTATTGAATGGAAATGTTTCCGATTCACGCATGCAAATTCATCTTCAGATAGTGTCTTTATAGCAATGTGCGTGCAGTAGATAGCTCAGATTACATTGGGAAAACAGGCGACCGCTGCAAATTGTGCTTTAATGTTTAGCTGGTCAACTGTATGGTGTGGAAACCTTACATACCTACTAGATGAACCCGTCTCATACAGCTGCCATTGCAAGGCTCAGACACTTTGTAGAGAGGAATTTAACACAACTGCCTCTAGGAGTCGCCAATGGAAATAAAACAGACACGCACAAAAAATGTGCGTACGCCTGCCAGAAAGCTGCCGTGAAGCTGCGCACATTCCCACGTTCAGTTCATTGTTAGTAAATCCAAATGTGAGCGATTCTGAGCGTGAAACCTGGCGTACGCAAAGTTTTTGTGCGTACGCAGCGTTGATACATGAGGCCCCTGATCTTTTGAAATGCGAACGCAGTGTAAACAGGCATGTCGATCATTTTCAATCGACTAATGTCATCAACCTGCCCGGGCGCGAAAAAAAAAATACACAAACAGCTAACATCATGGAGGAAAGTAGCGAAATTAGTCAGTGGAGAGACAGTGAAGTGATAGACTTCATAAGTATTTGGGGTGACAGTTCCATCCAAGGAAAACTTGAAGGGTCGTATCGTAATAGGTCTGTTTTTGAGAACATTGAGAACGTTACAAATGCTCGAACGAGGACATCGGAGAACGTGGTTGCAGTGCCAGAGAAAAGTAAAATCCCTTAAAGGCAAATTTAAAGAAGCTAAAGATTCTAACTAGCAGAGTGGACGTGTCACCTGTCCGTTTTATAATGAACTAGAACGCATCTTGGGTGACAAACCGAGCTGTCAACCATTAGAATTGCTTGACAGTTCCGTACTTGGAGATGAGGAAGCTACAGCAAACAGCAACGATGATGTTGAGACAGGTAAGTAAATTTGTCCCTGAACATTTTTTACTCTCTGAACTGTTTTAAATGATTTCAATATACTCGCATAATGCATGGATAATGAAATTTGACCGGGGTTACAACGAATGAACATTATTCAAATGTTACTATAAATTAACTATGGTATTGCAATGACATTTCTAGGTTAAATATAGCATTTGCGTGGTTATCCTAAGGGTGATAAAAATCATAAGAATAATGATTGTACTATAATAAAATCAGTGTTATCTTCCTGAGAAAAACGTCAACATTTAAAAAAATCTCTTTTTGCAGTATTAATAATGTTGGTTCATTTAAATATTTACCAATGAATTGTTTTTAGTTATTTAAAAATAAAATTAAATAAAAGTTAATGGCTGTATTTGTGTATAGATTTTAATAAGTATTACATAAAAGTGTATGTGTGACTGTAACTTTATGTTAAATAATGGGGCACTTATTGTAAAATTTTGTTTACAAGTTTGCCTAAATCTCATAATAATAAAAAACTGGTTTATAGAGTCATTGACATTGTATTCTAATATTTCTTTGTTTGCATCAGATGACACAACCAGTGATTCACTTACATCAACATCTGGAGACAGCACATTTTCAACTACAAAAGTGCGTGAAGGGAACACTCCAGCCATCATCCCCTGTAGAAGTAAGGAATATTTATTAAAGCATTACTTAAAGAGCCCATATTATACATGAAATAGGGTCATATCTT